CAAAAGGTTCATATACTTTTTCTTGCAACTGTATCTCTATTTTCACAAATATGTCATAGTAGTATAAAACATTCAAGACTAGCTTCTTCTAGGATGCAGATTTTCTCCATGCAGGAAATCATTTATGTAAAAAGCTAGTCAGAAAGGCACATTTGTAACCTTACAGGGTAGCCTTCACGGCCTATTACCCTCCACATGTATTGGATCACAAATCCAATCTTACACAATGCTATTTTATGCTGGCTTGGGCAACAGAGATTGTAGCCCAATGTGTTTGAAGAGCACTGGGTTGGGGAAAGCAGATATAAGAGAACAAGACTTTTTTTTCCTTTTTTTACATATAACTTTTATATATATAAATAATATATATCTCTCAAATAGTTCTTAAAAAGAATTATCTGCAGCAAACCTAACTGTTCACTAGTGCCATATTTGTAAGTCATCAAGGGAAGGGAAGGCCTTTAAAGCTATCAGAAAAAATGCTGGTAGACAATAGGGATTTCATCAGTCAAGCTTCATCTACATACAGAAACTATAGAAATGGCTGTTTTGATAATTTCCTATCAGTGTTTCATACGCTATTGGATAAAAGACCTTTTCAGAACTGTGAAGTTGGTTTCTTCATTTTAAACTACTGTACAGTGACTGGTCTATACTTCTGTGCCATAAAGCAAAGGCAGATGCAGCTGGAAAACCTTTGTTTTGTTAAAACTAGAGAAAACTCTGGGGAAACAGAAAAGAAGATAACAGTGCCTGAGTTTGGGTGTACCCTAACCCAATAGCTCTGATAAATGCCTGGAATTACCCCCAGAAGCTGGTGGTATCCAGGAGCAGAGGACTTTGCTTCAGGGTTCAGGTTATCTCTAAGGCATAGGAACCAACTCTAGCTAGACATTGTTTTAAGATTTTGTGTGTGTGTGTGTGTTAGAAACTTTGTTTTCTGTTCCTGTTTCTCTATACATACAGGGCATTCTTTGAAATTTCAGATTAATTGAAAGCCATCTCTCTCCAAAGATCATTAATTACAGTGAGAACAATTTGCATATATTTGGACTTAATATATTAATTCTTTTGAGTCCTTTTCATTAAAGTTTGATTTCATTTGTATAGTGGGTACATTTCATTTGTACCCACTATACAAAAATATACAGAAGGAATATTTTTATTTGATTTTTATTTGTAAAAAAAATAGCAGAAGGGATGCAATTGTAGGTTTTAACTAATGAATGCCATTTCAACTCATGTAATGGGTTGAACCCTCTCCCTCTCCTCTCATTAAAGTTTGATTTCATTTGTACCCACTAAGACCTAACAGCTGTTGGTGAGTTCCAGTATGTTCAATTGTTAGAAAAGTATATTACAATAATGTTCTAATAGTTTGTCTTGATTTTTGAGTTGATAAAACTATAGATCTCACAATTGGCTTTTATAATTGTATATATGTAGGGGACAGGATTGCTCTGGCTTCCAGGTGGAATGAAACTCTTTGCAGTGTTCTATACCTTCGGAAATATTGCTGCTTTAGCCAGGTATGGTCTTTTTATAGTCATCTTTTTTTTAATGAGATTGATGTGTTTCCACATTACTTGCAAATTGCAAATAATCTTTGCATATAGAATTAAGTGGAGCTCTTTTGAAATTTGTTGTGTACAATTGCCAGATGTAAAAAAAATAGCAGAAGGGATGCCATTATAGGTTTTAACTAATGAATGCCATTTCAACTCATGTAATGGGTTGAACCCTCTCCTTTTCTATCTCCTGAGTACACCCTCAGAAGTTGCTCTGGATGATTCCCTGTCCATCCAGAACTGGACAGGCTATATAGAGTGGAATGAGGGAGAAACATTGAATTCTACCAATTGGCATAGACATAGATGGACAAAACGGGACCAGGTGACCCTAACATTATGGTTATGACTGGGAAGTTACGACATCCTGTACCTGTGTGTGTCTGCATGCGTGTGTGTGTGTGTGTGTTTTGGATGTTCTTTTTCAAATTTAGTAATATACTTCACTCATAACCATACTGATTAAAAAGTTCAGCTCTGTAGTATCTGTACTGCTATGCCATTGAGTACAGGTAGTCCTCAGTTAACAACCACAATAGGGACTGGAAAATTGGTTGTTAAGTGGGGTGGTCATTAAGCAAATCACCACGTGACTGGACCCAATTTTACGACCATTGTTACGATGGTTGTTAAGCGAATCAGTGTGGTTGTTAAGTGAATCCAGCTTCTCCATGGACATTTTTGCCAGAGTTTGTTTAATGACCATGTGATTTGGTGGCTGGTGTGGGTCAGTGAATCCAGCTTCTCCATGGACATTTTTGCCAGAGTTTGTTTAATGACCATGTGATTTGGTGGCTGGTGTGGGTCAGTGAATCCAGCTTCTCCATGGACATTTTTGCCAGAGTTTGTTTAATGACCATGTGATTTGGTGGCTGGTGTGGGGGTGT